TCCAGGAAAAGAGGGGGGTGGTTTGTACAGCAATGGATTATGAGCTAAAGTGCTAGATTATTTGTAATTCAACATTCAGGAAGCATCTGCTGCGTGGAGAATTTGACACCTGGTCCACAGAACCCTCATGTGTGTTGTCCCCTCAGTGAAGATCACCACCACCACCCTCCCCCCGTAGTTCTTTTCCTAGGAGTTCACTACAGTAAACTCAGTGCAGGCTTTAGCAGAAGAGCTCACTCTAAAGGTCTTTGGGTTTTAATCATTTTAAAATTTTTATTATGCTTCTCACTCTTAAACACAAAGTGAATAGGGCACCCTTTTGTTTTACACAATTATATTCAATTATCATATCTTAACAAGACATTATTTATGATTCCAACTGGGTTACTAATGTTTTTTTCATTGTTAACTGTAAAGCCAAAAATTAGAGACACGTCCTCTAACTTAACATTGTAAAGACACTCATACTAGGAGATCTAGTTAGTGGCAAGTAATATATCCAAATGATGAAAGGAGACATAAAATAAAGGGCTAGAAGTGTGTTCACTTCCGAAGTAAGTGGGACACTAGCACTATCTAAAATATAGTCTTAAATCTCTTATGTGTACATAAAATAAAGTGAGTTTTATATACCACTTAACTCAAATTTATCTTCCATTTCATTTGTATAGTAATTAAATTCATACTCAGTGATACAAGGAATGGTAATGAACCTCTTTGGAAAATGTTAAAGTGTTCCTAAATGTACAATAACTCCTCTCCCTGTCTCATTATTTTTCCCTTCACGTACGTCTCATGTAATCATTTCAGTGATACTGAGTTCATTGTGGGGAGGTTTATGCCTAGAAAAGGTTTTCACCAATTCTGTGCCTCCATTATTACAGTAGCAAGGTGGAGAAGGTTCCCTGATCTCCCAGAATGTCGTGTTGGATGTCTCGGTTCTATAAATAGTTTGCCTTGACATTTGCATTATATCAGCTGATGATTATCATGCCCTAATTTTCCATTTCAGTGTGTCAGTGATCTTCTATATTAGGTACATGCTATTCAGAGATGGTCCTCCATGGTCAGATCCTTTTCCCTTAAACAATTTATTTTTTTTTCTTTTTTTTTTAAGATTTATTTTATTTTATTTATTTGAGAGAGCGAGAATGAGAGAGAGTACATGAGAAGGGGGGAGGGTCAGAGGGAGAAGCAGGCTCCCTGCTGAGCAGGGAGCCCGATGCGGGACTAGATCCCAGGACTTCAGGATCATGACCTGAGCCGAAGGCAGTCGCTTAACCAACTGAGCCACCCAGGCGCCCTAAACAATTTATTTTTAACAACTTTTAGCAAATCCTACCTTTCAAGCCTCCCAGTCGGGGTTCTTTTCTGCTAATCTGCCCAAGCAAGGAATAAAATAAAAACACCTCTTCCACCATGCAGTGAGAACTTTACTTCTGCCAAAGTGAAGGGAAATATTTCCACATTTGTCTAGCACATATTTTTATTCTACATCCTCACACACACCTTATATTTTAAGGCAGTTTTCTGAACTAAATGCTTTATTTGCTCACTGATAGAAATATTAGAATCATAACCAGTTTTCTTCCTTGAGGCTGTGACTGGGAGATTAAGGTGTACTTTTTTTTAAGATTTATTTATTTATTTGAGAGAGAGAGAGAGAGCACAAGCGGGAGAAGGAGACAGAATCTCAAGCTGATTCCCCACTAAGCGTGGAGCCTGATGAGGGGCTCATCTCACCACCCTGAGATCACAACCTGAGCCAAAACCAAGAGTTGGAGGCCTAACCCACCGAGCCCCCAGGTGCCCTTGGGAGATTAAGGTGTATATATGAGAGAATCAATGTTTTCCTAAGAATAAAGTCAGAGAAGTTGTAGGCAATGATATCTGGGTGCTAGGCTGCAAAAGAAAGAAAAAGGAGTATGACTGTCTCAGCAGTGGAATTATGGAGACCTTAGGAACTGAGGTAAAGGCCCCAAGACTATTAGCTCTGCATAAGAATGTGTTTAAGAGTTGAGTACTTGTGAGGAGAAACCAAAAGAGGGCGCCATCGTATTTTTTCAGTGGAATTCTTTCCATAATCAACTTCATGTCATATTTTTTTTTTTTAATGGATGTGAGCTTTAAATATTTGAAACACAGGTAATCATTAGATCCTAAAAATGAGTTAGTCGAGACGATGGTGAATATAACCTTCCCTCTGTATAAGAAAAGACACGACAGGGAGGAGCAGGCCTGAAGTGGTGCAGTTTGGCCCGTCTTCGTCATTTAGCAGTGGCCTCACGTGAGAATGCTCTGGACTGCCTTCTGTTTCTGTTTCACCCCATTAATTGTGCTAAAGAAATACACTTGACATCGATGCTGGGTAGTCTCATTTAGCCCCAGTGGCTGCCAAAGTACTAACGCCATTAACTGAGGCAGCTCAAACGGAGCCAAACGCTCCACCAGTAAGGCAATAGGCTGCCCTCCATCACTGACGATGGGGCCTGTGGGAGTGTTTGTTCACACAGACCAAATGTGCCCCACCAAGGCGAGACATTTGAAAAGGTATGGGCTGCGATATTGTCCTTTGAATCCCCAGGGCTTCCCTTCTCAATTCTATTCCCCTGCCATCTCCTGACTGTCTTTAGGTCTTTCACAAAAGAAAATGAAGAATGCAAATACAAACTGTAAGTTAGAACACAATTTTAAAAGTGCCACAGTAAATTTGAGCACCTGAAATTAGAAGTTACTCAGTTACCCCTTGGTAATGATAACTCTCTGGTAACTGTCTCTGCGAGCTGATACAGTGAAGAACAGCAAGCACATGATCCCTTGCCCTGGAGTCCATCAGAGAGAAACTTTACACACACACACACACACACATCTGTAGTTAGTGTGTTTCTGTCACAATTCAGTAGTCCTGGTAGCAGTAAAGAAGCAAAATCAATGTAGGATGCTTTACCTATAGTCCCACCTAGAGGCAGGAGGACGAACCAGCTAGAAAATATTTTTTCATGTTTCTTCCCAAAAGGCTCCATTTGATTTTGATTTTATTCTGTGTTAACACTTTCTCGTTATTTCTCATACTGGGTTTTTTGTAAACTACAACAAAGCAAGAATGTGATGAGTCTACTGAAGATGTCAGTGAAACCGTTTGGGGGTTAAAAGAAGACATAGGGCTAGTTCCCAAAATGTTCTAATCTCCAGTGAGTCACTAGACCTCTTCCTGATGAACTTCAGAATAAACACATCAGCAAAGAGTCTTAAGGCCGCCTGATTTTACCATTCCTGTAGAACTGTACCTGAAGAGAAGTTTCTTCCCCTGTCAAACTTCACAGTGTTTACATACCAAGATCTCTCCTGTAAGGCCCTGTGACCACTGTTAGCTAAAATGGTTTCCTATTAATGCTTTTAATAGTAATCCATATTTGACAAGCTGTGAAATATTTTTTTTTTGATGTGCCATTTACAATTACTCCTGTGAAGGCTCACCTCAGAGCACCAGCCAGTGCTAGGCATTACTCAGGAACAATGAGTGTGCAATAATTTAGTCTTAAACCTGGATAGCTCAGGGCACCTGGGTGGCTCAGTTGGTTAAGCAACTGCCTTCGGCTCAGGTCATGATCCTGGAGTCCCAGGGTCGAGTCCCGCATGGGGCTCCCTGCTCAATGGGGAGCCTGCTTCTCCCTCTGACCCTCCCCGCTCTCATGCTCGCTCTCTCTCTCATTCTCTCTCAAATGAATAAATAAAATCTCAAAAAAAAAAAAAAATCCGGATAGCTCAGTATTGAGTAAGACTTCTTTTAGCTGCATTTTATGGAGGTAAAAATCAAGTTAAATAGCACATCTAGGTCACCAACACAGGCTTGACACCATAGACCATGCCAGTGCATTTTCCAGAAGGTATTCTGTGGATGACCTGCATTAGAATCACCAGGGAAGCTTATCGAAAATATAGATTCCTGGATCTTAGGAAAGAACCACAGAATTAGGGGAGGGGGTAGATACCAGGCCTCTGCATTTTTATCAAGCACCTCAGTGATTGTTAACCTACACTGTATAGAGTTGAACAGCCTCCTGATGCTGCAGGAGAATTACAGAGCACAAAATGTGAAGGGATGCTGGGTGGGGTGCATCTGGCTCTGACATTTCTGTTCTAATCACTAAGTAACCACAGGGTTTCAAAGATTACCCAGGTGACCTCAGCATGTTCAAGAGGAGGTCAGAACAAGAGCTTAATATTTTCTGTGGCCAAGTGGACATTAACTTTGCACTGTTCACAAGTCTCCAAAGAAAATTTGGCTAATGAGAGAAAAACAAGCAGATTGGAGGTGGGGTGGGGGGGGCATTGGAATGTTGGAATAAAATGAGAAAATGAATTTGGCGATTTGATTGGCTGGAGTTGAAAAGCTTACTGCAGGACTCAGCCTATTGCTGATCAAAAAGTGGGGCAAGGAAAAGACTGGAACTTTCCCCAATCTTCCCATATTTTCCTTAGGCTTTGATGGATGCTGCTATCCAGTGATTAATTGCAGCATCCCCGGTTACATAAATGCTTAGCAGCAACTTATTCTTCTTTTTTAATTCTTTTTTTTTAATTTTATTATGTTATGTTAATCACCATACATTACATCATTAGTTTTTGATGTAGTGTTCCATGATTCATTGTTTGCGTATAACACCCAGTGCTCCATTCAGTACGTGCCCTCTTTAATAGCCATCACCAGGCTAACCCATCCCCCCATCACCCTCCCCTCTTATTCTAAAAAACAAAAACTCCTCAATCTGGGTTAAATGCTTCTTCTAAGACAGTGCATCCAGAAAATTCACAGCTGAAATTTCAGCTAACCACAGTCTATAGATAACTCTAAGCCATGCAGGTGAGTACTGAATGGTAACAGTGCTCAAGGCTAGAAGTAGTGTTCATCTGAAAAGAACACTCTCGAATCAGTGGACCATTGTTCCGCCAGGTTTGCATGTGGGTGACTCTGAGATGGATATGTTTTTCTTCCCCAGTCTCAGGAGGCCCAGGTGCTGAAACAATTGGCAGAGAAGAGGGAACATGAGCGAGAAGTCCTTCAGAAGGCTTTGGAGGAGAACAACAACTTCAGCAAAATGGCGGAGGAAAAGCTGATCCTGAAAATGGAACAAATTAAAGAAAACCGTGAGGCTAATCTAGCTGCTATTATTGAACGTCTGCAGGAAAAGGTAATCCCGGCAAAGTTCTGGGCATAAGCATGCGTTCATATGCAACACAGCTGGTTGAGCTCTCAAATGCCCTGGCACCAGAGACTTAGTCAAAACTTGCTTCAAGTGAAAAGACAGCCAACCCCTTGGGCAGGTTCTCCCATGGTAGCATTGACTTCATGGGCACTGCACCGTGGTAGAGGAATAGGAACCCAACAATGAAGCTAGAACTGGGTCAGATTTTTTTAGCAGTGAATGAATTCAGGGAGGCTGATCCATGCTTTTCACGTATAGAAAAGACTTCTGTAGAAACTTGAAGAACCAGCCTACTAGAAAAATATTAAATTGGAAATATGAAATATGCCATATAAGTATTAATTAATAAGTAACAATAATATATAATAAAATAATACATTCAATATTTACTTCACTAAAATGTAATGCTAAATATATAAATAATAATTTGGAAAAATACATTTGTCAGAAAATGACAGAATACCTATAAAAAAACGAGAAGCCCATACTCTCCATGTAGGAAAATCTACATGGAAAACTAGGGTATAATAACATTGCATGAAACCAAAGCAAAGGGGAGCTAGTAAGGGATGTTCATTTCCCAAAGTTCTCATATCCTGGTGCCTTTCTTCTCAGCAACTCTTCAATCGGGTTGAGCAGTGCTGGAGATTCTCTGGAAAGTGTTCTCTCTTTCCTTTTTGTGGGCTCTATTGCTATCTATCCACCACCACCCAGAAAACTTTCCTTTGAAAATGTATAGCTATAAATAGTTTAGCTTTTCCATCTCCAGAAATTGGATGAAGCATTGAGAAATATGATTTTTTGAGAAACAATGCCTCAGTCCTTTCCTGAGCAATTGCCCCCAGCACCAGTACTGAGTGCTATGACATGTTGGCCCTGGAGAGAAAAGTTGGACTCTCCCTGTCATCAGAGCATTAAGAATCTAGACAAGATCAGCCTCCTGTTTTCTGAGTATTTCTTAGGAAAACTCATCTCGTCTACTAGAATTGGCCCATCTCATCTAAGAATCAGGCAACCCTATTCTGATGTTCTCATCTATTCTGATGACTCTGTCTTCACTCCCATTCTCCGATTACAAATGTCAGGCCAGAACCAAAAGAAATCAGGCATAAAACCTAAAAATATAAACATTTAATTCCATGGAGATTTTGGTGGGTATCTGTGCTCTTGAGGAATTTTTGAAAGCATTGCTGGGGAAGCATGTGTGGGCTGACACAGCAGTAGGACACTGAGGCTCTCCGAGGTATAGAGAGAAAGCACTGGGTGACCTGGGCAGGAGCGGAGAGCCACTGAATGCCTTGGTCAGAATCTTAAAGTTACTTATATAAGCTAGTGCTTCCAACACTCTCAGAACAATGTCGTTGTGCTTCACCTAAGTGCATCAGGTCAGAATTTGAAGGGGCACTTCGGCTCTCTGCATGTTACACGTGGTGGTACCATAGCAAGCGCTTTGCTGAGATGCAGGAGAGCAAAGTTCCAGTGGATGAAACTTATGCCCCTCACCTTGAACCATTTGGTCTTCTTACATTTATCCTCCGTTCACACGTCTATGCACAACCAAGGAGATTCTTGCTGACTGGAGCTGGTACCATGGACAGCAAAAGACCACCATGTATTCTGCTCTGAATAATTATGAGTCAACTCTCTCATATCCTAGGCCCGAAAAAAAAATCAAGTGGAGTTGCTAGGAATGGGACATGCTGGTCATATTCCAGGATTTTCCATTAGACCTTAGTATCCAGTGCAAGATTTATATCATCAACCACCAAGACCATTATTGTTTTTGAAATTACACATATACAAATACGCAGCATGTCCCTCTTGATTTCAATTATAAAATGGTACGTGAAATTTCCATGTTTTAACTAGTATTTCCAGAAGTGTTCAATTTTAATAGGCAGTTTCTTTTTCTCTGTGTGCTTCTCTTCACTCACTCCCTGCCCAGCACCTTTTTTCACTCTTCCCCATTCTCACCCAGATTTAGTCTCTACCCTCTTTCAGACACACATGCATACAGACGTGCAATTTGTCCTGGAAATAATCAACCTGTGGACAGCTTAACATTCCTGATATGAAGCTGCAGAATCTCCAGGGGTGAGACCCAGGCATCTATATTTTTTTAAAACTCTCCAGATGACTCCAATATTCAGCCAGGTTTGAGAACTAGTGGTTTATATATTCTGATTTAAATCTCAGCTGACAATATTCTATCCCATGCTGGATGATACAGTGCAGATCATTTTTAAGACCACATTTCCCCTGGTATTTCATAGCCACAGAGATGCTTTTCAAATCTAATGAGATCTTTGGTCAGGGTTAGCCAAGATCTATTATCTTCTCCATAAAGTGGAGAGACTCCTTATGGAATACCAAATTTACTTCCTTTTGATGTATTTTAAATATGTTTTCTTTTTCCTAAAATAAGACAAAGTAAGTTTTTTATTATTACCTATATCTAGCCTTTTGTTTGAATGAAATTACTGCAATGAGATTAAAATTAAAAAGAGAATCAGTAATAATAGTAATGCTGAAAATGCATGAAACTGCTAACATACATAAGCTGTTCTGGAATCTGATGCCTCAAAAGATGATTACACTGAAAATGAGACCTATTAATGAGTTAGCCATTCAATGAGTATTTATGGAGTACTGACTATGTGCTTAGAAACCTGGAAGGGGATGTAATATCAAAGAGCATTTACTAACCATCTCTTTCCCCATGCAGGCAATATAAAACCCAGCAATAAATAACTTAGCAGCAAAAATTAGAGAATAAGTCAACATATCATCTGAACCAATAGAGATAGTAAATACAAAAGCACTGGGAAAATGTGAGTAAAAATAAATCCACATCAAGGCTAACACACTAAATTCCCACCATTTTGACAGGCCTCACTGACCCTATCAATTAGCCAGGAGACGTGATACAATTCCACGTGAGCTTTTGCCAGCACTCTGCCTCCCCCTCACCCTGCCCTTCACCCCTCAAGTAAGAGAACAGAGCATCCGAGCAGAGCATGTCTTCCCGTGGTGTCCATGGTTTCTTGGGTGTCATTCACTGATAACGTCCCACAAACTTCTTGGAGACCCAGCCATGTTAGGCTCAGAGTCTTTAGCTAAAACTGAAAGCCTAAAGCAAAAGCCATCTCAATTGCACTTTAGAATCCACTGAAGTACTCTTTAAACTAAGAGATTTCGATGTAATTGTCTGGGAAGGGACCCCGAGTTCAGTATTACTTTTAAAATTTGCCAGTCGGCGCTAATATTTAGCAGGAGTTGAGAACTACTGAGCTAAAGACTTCTTAAATGTGCTTTGTTATGTTGTCATAAACTATATTTAAATATTCTTTAATCTGTGTTCCATAAAACTGTTCTTTTTTCCTTCAGAAAAGAATTTTACACTTTTTTTTTCAATTTCTGTTTTCATAACACCTCACCTCAACACTCCAGCTTATTATATAGAAAGGAATCAAATGTGGAGAAAGGTGTGGATGAAGGAGGGGCTATGCCACAAAGAGCTACACTAGGCTGATCTGTTTCTGTCACTCAAATCGAAATTACACATACCCGACAGTCTTCAAGTTGAGTGACATAAGTAGTCATCCCCAGGACTCAAGTGTAGTCTGTGGATTATGAGTGACACTCTGGTGAAGTTTAAAATGTTCTTATTCTTGGGATAGAATAATAGAAAGAGACACAGAGACAGAGACCGAGATGGAGACAGAAAGAAAAGCACCTGTTCCTGCCACACAGAAAGGATTAAAGAGACACTTTCTTCCTCCCCTAACATGTCCTTCCTCCCCTAACGCTCAACAGTATCCTGCAGAAAATGCGCTGCCTGGCCCACCAGGAACCCTGAGTAGCAACAGCTCTCTCATCAGACCCGAACAGGATCTGTAGTGGCTAATTTTGAAAAATCAGTTAAAGCGAAAAATAATACATACATTCATTAAACACGTAAGTTTAACATCAAACATTTAAATGTACAGCCAATTACCAATCTTTTGATGTAGGCCAGGACCTTTGTGAGAAGTGGATCAGTTAATAGGGGTCCCATGTCCTTTTTCCCCCCCATTTTCCACCTATACCCTATTAGCCATGTCTTACAGTTTCTGTTTCTTTAAAATTGAGTGAGGACTAAAGACATCTGCAAAATAATATGGATATATAGGATCTATACCACTTTTCTTTTTTTACAATTTCTCCTTGCTTTTATAGTTGATCCAATATCTGATCGTAATTCCCTTCCTCGAGTATTTCCAAAGCTTACCTTCCACCCTCACAATTTTCTATTACTGTAATATTTAATTGAATCATATAATTAAATTTTCAACCAGCTAGCAGAACAGGCTGGAAATATCAATGACTGCAAGCAAGCATGTAACTCAACCAGTGAGAGGAAAAGTATGTGGAAATAATAGGGAAGAGCCTCCCAGCCTCACAAGCAACCCAACATTTAGGAGATACCAGGATGATGGAGGGGATGGAGAATGCTGGTTAACCTAGCAGGTCAACTGAAAGGACTTCCACTGAACCTTGTTGAATTCTCCACTTAGTTCAAATGGTGTCACATTCTCTTGCTTTTATAGCACAACCCCACCACTCACTAGCCACTGCCAAGACTGCCCAGATCATAATATTGTGACAGAGACCAAAGGAATTTTCCATGGTGTTCAGGAGTGAGAGAAACAAAAAAAGGAGATGCCTTGACAGCTACTTTACCTAGCCAACCACAAAGGACAGTACTTAGGAAATAAGAGTTGTTTTAGTATAATTGATAATTTCACCTCTAACAATATAGAAAAGTTGAAGTGAAAACATTATAGCCATTATTTCAGGGACCATCACATCACATAATATGATATAGCTTAAAATAATAAAAATAGTTTGAGGGAATAAGATTCTGTGATTCTTTTCCTAAAGGATGATTTTGATGCTATATAACTCTTTAGATCGAGATTTCAGCCATTATTAGTTTTCATCTGTGGTCAATTTTTATTCTTCTCATCTGACTTTGTTTTTTGGGG